CTAATTTCAGTTTAGAAAACGGTACTTTAATTTGGTTTTCTGTGCGATTGTTTCTCTTTTTAGCCAACTTTACCGGTGAGTATAAATTTTCATGTTTTCGTATAAACTTACAACATTCCATGATATAGATTGAGGTTAATGTAAGTATGCAATGTAATTTAAAGTGAGGTCTACATGATTCCATCTGATCTATATTAGTTAAAATTTCAATGCACTTTTTTTGCAGAATAAAAACACTCTCGACGTCATTACAATTTCCCCATAAGATAATTCATAATAAGCGGTTAGTGCGGTTTTAAGATCTGTAACTTTTTTCAAGTGTTGTAAAGCATAAACAAATGAAGACAATCTACTTTTCAGCTTTTGTAGGTGGGATTGCCAGTTTAAATGTGTATCTAGATCAATGCCTAAAAGTGAAGCAGATGGTACCGTCTCCAGTTTTACATTATTATACATATAATTAATTTGAAGCGGAAGTTTTTGATAGGGTTTGAATTGTATTAATTTTGTTTTATTTATGTTTAGTTCCAAGTTATGTTGTATGAGCCAGTTGTTGATTTTATTAAGAATAGTATTAAGTTTCTCTGCCAACTCATATGTATTAGAGCATGTAAGAGTAACAGTAATATCATCAGCGAAAAGGATGCTTTGTTCGTTTATTTGATTTGGAAGATCATTTATGTAGATAATAAACAAAAGACATCCAAGGACGCTTCCTTGGGGTATAGAACCCGTTAAATATGCTATATTTGATTCAATATTTTTGATTTCCCCTGTATCAGGGTTGACACTCTCTATCTCCACAAATAGTGTTCGATCTCTTAAGAATGATTTAAACCATTTATGTGTTGTTCCTCTAACTCCCGAATCGTATAATTTATTTAGAAGTATGTCGTATCGAACACGATCGTATGCCTTGCTCATATCAAGCAGTAAACTAACAGCGTACTTTTTATTATTGATCGAATCTAAAATTTTTCTGACACATTTATATACAGCTAGTGTCGTAGAGCAGTTTTTCCGGAAACCATGTTGACTATAATGTAAGACTTTAAATTTTTCGTAAAATGAGTATACTCGTCTTGCCATTGCAGACTCAAATATTTTAGAGGAGGTTGAAAGCAATGCGATCGGTCTATAGTTATTTGGATTTGTTTTTTTCTCCTTTTTTGTAGATAGGTTTTATTTTAGCTACTTTTAAGGCTTCAGAAAAAATTCCTTGCTCAAACGATTGGTTAATAAGTTTACAATATGGAACGGTTAACTATTCTACACATTTTTTTATTAGTATTGGGGGCAACTCGTCTTTTCCAAAACTTTTTTTATTCTTTAGTTTTTGGATAACTGCTCGTACCTCCTTGGGTTGGACCGATTCCAAGTACAAACTATTTATTACTGATTTGGTATTTTTGGGCTGTTGTTTATCATTAAACGATGCGATATTTGAGTTTCCTATAGACGTAAAAAAATTATTAAAAGTATTTGCTATTATTTTAGAATCCTCAATCAAGCTATTATTTATTTTTAGATGTATATTTTGTCTAATATTTAGCGGTTTCTTGTTTGTTTCCTCATGTATTATTTGCCACATCATATTGACTTTGTTATCAGATTTATTAAATTTACTGATATAAGAGATTTTTTTATATCGTTGTACTACTTTTTTTAATGTTTTTGTATATTTTTTATAGTAATCATGCAATATTTTATTTTTTGTTTGTGTTAGTAGTAATTTTAATAATCTTTTATTTCGACATGATATCCTTATTCCTTTTGTTAAGTATGTTATTTTGTTAGATTTGCATTTTAAATTAATTCGTTTTACTGGTATACAATTAATTGTTAAGGGTTATGTGCAGAGAGTTAATAAAATTATTATAGTTTTCGTTTATGTTATTGTTTGTTAAGATGATTTTATTCCAATCTAATTTTGTAATTTCCAATTTAAATCTATTAATATTTATATCATTAAATATACGCTTATTAATAAAATATTTTCGATTGTTCAATAGAGAAGGTACTGAGATTATTATGCCTTTATGATCAGAGATTCCAAACTCATCTACTTGGAGCTGAAAGTCACTGCTCGTAAAATTTATAAAAATTAAATCTATACAAGTTGCGCTAGTAGCGGTGATCCTTGTAGGCTCTTTGACAATCTGATGGAAATTATTTGTTAACATAAGGTTGGATAAAGTTTCCTTCGGTTTGTTATTTATTAAAAAGTCAGTATTTAAGTCTCCGCCTATAATAATATTTTTCGAAGTTTCTTTTATTAATATTTGATTTAACATTTTTTCTAGACAATTATAGAATATATCTATTTTTCTTTGACCGTCCGGCCAATACAAATTTATAATAATCAAATTATTTTTTGGTATCTCAATGGCACATACTTCGAAAATGAGTTCAACAGACAAACGTTCGATATCCTTTCGCTCTTCATACTCTATTTGGTTCTTTTGAAGTATACATACCCCTCCCCCTTCATGTGACTTTCGACAGTATGATGCACCTACGTTATAACCGTTAATATTGAGCAATTTCAACTTATCATTATTTAACCATGTTTCGCTTAAACATAATACATCTAGAAACGATTTTTCAGCGATTAATGCTTCAAGTAAATGTCTCTTATTGTTAACACTTCTCATATTTTGAAAGAACAAATTAAACTTTGTCACGAAAAAAATGATCTTGAGTTGCCGATACCATGCTGGTGTGGTGTGAGCCTGTGTGTTTGCTTGTAATACATTCTTCCAATATTCGTGAGGTGTGATTTTTATTTTCACAGTTTAGGTCACTCGTTTTCATTTTAATCTCCTGTCCGTTAATGATTAACTTGTTGTTTCGTATCGTTGCTTGTTGTCCACTTTGTCTAGCAGTTATAATAAAAAGAAATCTTTAGCAGCCAATGATAATGCCAATACTACAATAGATCTGGAAACACTACAATATTTAAAAGATGAAGACAATACTTTAGAATCCTTGAACAAATTTCCAAATGTAAAAAAACTCTTCCTCAAATATAATACCTGCTTACCAAGTTCTGCACCTGTTGAACGACAATTTCATCCGGTGAAATGATTATGAAGCCCCTTAGACGTAACATGAAAGATACATTCTTTAAACAAATACTAGTATTAAAATCAGTTAAATAATTAATAAGGTATTTTATTTGGAAAACCTATTTTGAAATACGTATTTTGTATTTAAATACTTTTATTTAAAACTATTTTGTATTTTATTTTAAATACTAATGTACCAATGCATTTGAATTTTGTATTTAAATACTTTTAATAAACCATTTTTAACTTCTCTGTAAAATTTAAAGTGGTAGTTGTACAGAACTCCAAAAGAATAGCACCGTATATGATGCAGCTACTCATTGGTGAAATTTTTAAAAGTAGTTCCAGTAGTTTCCGGAGCCTAAATGCAAACAAACAAATGATCAAATCTTTCCTATTTATAATATTAGTATAGATATCAATAGAATTGTGAAAGCAGAATTGAATTGTGAATAATTAATGTATAAATTTTTTTTCTTGTTCAAAATTTTATTACCTATACCTTATCTTCCAACAACAGAGTATTTGCAGTAAATCGTCGTTGACCAGAATATTCTATAAGGAGTTACCTCAACATAATTTTGTTAATTATTGGCAGAATAAATATACTCGTATAATTTCATAAGCTGAGACTCTAATAAATTTAGTAATAGTTAGAAGTTAATCTAAATTAAAACTTTTTTAACAGAGATATTGAGTTTATTTAAAAGTTTCGAAGGGCTCTATTTAACATAGTAAATAGGTAGTTACGTAATTTAAAAATTTATTATGATTTAAAATTAATAGTTCGCTATTCTGTAAAAAAACAGCCTCGTAATCGTCGTCGAGAACAGCACTGTGACAATGAAATAAAAATTTTATTACCCTCTCACGTAGGTTTCAATTTATTGAAACTCTACGCTTTGACAGTGCTGCGTTTGGCTGCGGTTGTCATTGAGTTCTACGCTGTTTTTGTAACAGAATCATACTGCTGTGTCTCGGTATGTATTAAGATAGCGCATCTACAGAGAAGAGTCTCTGTCGAGATCAGCAGAGGTGGTTGGCAGTTACCTCTGCATTGGACCTCGCTTCTCTGGGAGAGGCTCTCGATGTACCACGGCCTGTCCGTCCGTAAGCAGGACTATAGGTTCTGAAAGGGTGATGAGTCGTGGTGACTCGGTCTCATTCCCATGGGAGGGTACATCGTAAGTGTGGGTTCGCGAAGGAGAGTCCCACATACCCCCCGTCGCTTGCCAGGCGACAAGGGCAGTACCTAATGCATTTCTTTGACGTTAAAAAAGTGTTTATTAGATAATAAATCTTGTACTCGTGTTACGTAACAGCGAATGAAAATGTTGAAAACTTCATTTCAAAATTTTTACTGAGCGTGAAATTATTGTAACATAATTTTAATTAATCTTAATTTCCGTGTGTATAAACGTTTAAGAAGTTTATTTTAATCTTTGATATGAAGTTCGTAAGTATTTCTTTGGTAATGATAATTATTTTGAAGCATTCTAAAGTATATTGATTTTGTTTTTTAAATAAACAATCATTCCTTTAACAGTACAGTACAGTTTTTTCACTTATAAAATAAGTGAAAAAACTGTAAATAATGTTTGGTTAATAAATTTACAATATAAGAAAAACCCAGAAAGTTGATTAAATAAATAAAACTTTATAGACTAATTAGCTATCATAATTATAATATTTAATAATGAGCTTTTATATTAGAGTATGTATGCAAAGCCCCAAAACTAAGGGGGAGAGGGAATGACGACTGCATATGCAGCCCGGCGGTGCTCGAGATTGTAAATTTTTGGTCACCCATCATACAACCAACCTTTGTAAAAGTTACTTAATTTTCATCGCTAACCACTATCACATCGAGCTTCCAATGTAACATATTTACTTTTCCAGGTATTCATAATTGTTATTGTAACATTTCTGTCAATGAGTAATGCTCGCTACAGAAGGCGTTTCCAGTACAAGCCGTCACCAATAGTACCGACAAGTGCCCCCAATTTCCCGAGCAACATGCCCTCTGATATTTTAGAACTATTCAAAGTACCAAGCAACGAGTTCTGCAGCCAAATGATCATTCAACCTTCTCACCATTACGTCGTGTTGCCTTGGTGGTATTATTATTGTCAGAACATGAAGGAAAAGAAATTCTTGAAGGACAACAAGAGGATGCCTAATTTCGGACATTATAAAGTGATTTTGGAGAGAGTAAAGCAGTATAAGAAGAGGCATGGAGAAGAAACAGATATGAGACGTCACAGACCACACTACGAAAGGCTTTAATTTGGTCATTGAATAAATAGTTAATCATAATGTGTTCGCTTTTTATATTTGTCTATACTCATAATACTAAAAGAAAAGATTTAATCGGTGGTACAGCTCCGAAACTACAGGAACGATTAAAAAATCTACCTACGGGAAGCTACATCATACGCGAGTAACGAAGGCTATAATTTTCGCGATCAAATAAGCAAAACAGCTAGTTACTAATAGGTAAAGTCTCATACTTATAAGTAACTAGCTGTTTCCTTTTAACATATAAGTTGAGGTTTTTCAGGTATGTAACTTAAAAGTATTTATTTCTCGGGATACTAGCGTTCGATGCAATTTTATTTAAAGTATAAAATAGCAATACTCCGCTGCACTTGAATCAAATAATGAAACAAAAATAATGGTAATTTTCTTTATGATATCCTCGCAATTCTGTTATAAAGTTATGACAATAACCTGTTTCTGCTCTAGAATATATCCTCAGTTTGTTTCATTTTTATTTTTTACACATTCCATACATTCATAGTGGTCATTTTCATTTTATCAAATTGTTAGCTTACATAGACTTATCACTGAGCTTGTAATTAAAGTATGAATAGCGTATTAATGATACTTTTATTTAGTATACATTTTACGAATAGAGATGCAGTGAAAACAAATTGGTGCCTGCGTCAACACGGTCAGCTGAGTTTGTTGAAGTAATTTATCACACATATTATTTTAATTAAACTTTTTTGAGCCGCAATAACATTATTATTTAATGTATTGTAACTCGTTGGCGTGGATCATTGTTGTTAAGCAACTTTCGCAATGGTCGTTCATGGGATGGGTGACCAAAAATTATGCTCTCGCTTCGTGCTTCGGAAGGCACTTTAAGCCGTACGTCCCGGCTGTATTTGTTGACGTTAATACCCTCCAATCCGCATTGCGCCAGCGTGCAGGCTCATGGCCCGTCCTCCTTAACCATCTATAAGGAAGGCTTGAGCCGTTGCAGTGGGGACGTAAAAAGGCTGACGATGAACTGAAAAAAGTCTAGGTTTAATTAAAAAGTAAATCACAACTATACAACTATACCAACTATACCAATATTTATTCTGCACTACCATCATATATATTATTAATTTCTAGATTTTACGTAAAAATATAAGGCTACAATACATGTCAATTAAGTTAATGACAGTATCATTATAATGTCAACTATAAGATCTAGGATCTGAGGGGCTGAGGGGATCTGTTTGTCTACGAATGAAAATTACAAAGTAATCGAATAGTTCTTACATTTTTTTTAAATCATATGCTTTAATATTATCTGTGTATCAGAAGCTGTGTCAGGGTCCTACCTCCATTTCATTATTAATTATCGAAAAATGTGTTCCTTTAGAGTCGTATAAGGGTTTCGAAAATCGAATAATTTTCGTTTTCGGTGAAGTACGGTTCGGTTTCGTTTTCAGAGTAGGCCCTCTAGTACGTAAACTTGAAATTTGGTACAGGGGCTCCTTTAATGATGTTAGTGTATACTAAGATTTTTTTTAGAAATCCAACCCCTAAGAGGGTGAAATAGGGGGATGAAGTTTTATGGAATTTTCTCGTTTCCGGATCGACAGCTAGTAACACTAACGTCCATTAAATTTTAATGACGCCTTTAACCTCTAAAGAATCACGAATTTGTATGGGTAAACTAATGAAAATTTTGATGGACTTTTGTGCAACTGGCTGTTTAACGTATGAAAACTACTCGTATGCCACGCGGGCGAAGCCGCTGCAGGAGAGCTAGTTCTATTCTAAACCAATCAAATAAAACCTACTAAAAAGGTAAGAATGAAATAGAGCCCTCTATTTCATTAAAGCTCTATTCTGTCACAGCGGCTGTTTTATAACAGATAGTAATTAGCCGCAATATTTTACAGTTTGACTTTTAATATTAATAATACCAGAGGTATTGCTTATCCTGTTTACTAATTATCAAAGCCTACCACAACCAACATTTTTATCGAGAATATTTAATGTTACAATAAAGGTGACGTACAATAAACATCACGTCAGGTAACCAAAAATAAATTTCCAATTGATTTTAAGCCTTAATGGATTTGCAGAAAGTCCTTTTTAACTCCACGTACTGTTGGGGTTACGATGTATAATTTGTTTGTAAGCAAAATGTCAGCGACTCAATCAATTACTTTAGCACCACTCTTACAGGATATTAAATAGGTAGAAAACCTCGAAGCAGGTAATGTGTTCGTGAATTCCGATGATTAGAGTATCAAATTGATGATTAAATTCGACGTGGCGTTTTATTGGGAACTGACTGGAAATCACTCGATGCTCGATATAAAAACAGAGGCCTTATTTTTGTTCAAGAACCATACTTACTAAAATTTATTATGATTCAAGAAGTGGTCTATTCTATACAATAAGTATGAATGATATATATGTATTTTTTTTTGTTTCAAACAAGGAATACTCTAACCCCTTAGTCAGTGGTCCTTTAAAACATGTCAAATAGAATAACAACGTTCTAATTTTACTCACTTAGAGGTGGCAATGGCCGCTGGAACTTGCGCGGTGCGACTTCCATGGACTCTGCCACACTACAATTGCTAATCGTCATAGTCTTGCATCTATAGGGTCCTAGAGGCTAATGTGAAATTATCTCCATCCAAGCTAGGTATTTGTAAGCTCGAAACCGCAGTGCATTTTTATTTATTATCAAGTAAACAAACTTGTTTTAATCAATGTAGGTTGGAAGATGTATATATGTGAAGTTGCGGCGAAACTTAGTAAGCGCGATCCAGGTATCGCGGCGTCATCTCGTTCTGTCTGGCAGTCAATCATTGCCACGATGTGCTAGATGCTACCACTCGCCACATCGCCACACATTGCTACCATTGCTAGGTTGCAGATTGAATCAAATAGGGACAGAGGGCCATCCATTTAACTGTTGTCACCCGTCATTTAAGAAGTTGCTTAACCGCCGCATTATAAACCGAACGTGCTAACCACTGTGCCAAAAAGCTTCCTAAGAAGTCTCCATAATAGAATAGATTACGTGGGAAATATTACAAGTGGAATGTAATATAATAGATAAGTATGATGTTTGAACGCTATCACACCATTCCATATCAGTGCAGTAAACACTTCAAAAATAATGAACTAATCGTAATGCTTACTATTTACTTTGTACATATTCGTTACAAATATTTTATGAGATGCTACCTTTCATTAAAACAAATAAGTTTAAAGTCATTCTTTAAAAAAATAGCGTCTAACTAAATTTCGAACTCAACGCATCTTACAGGTTTAATTAAGTAAATCCGACTTCAAAAAAGAAATAAAGGTTTTTTGATTGAATCTCTATGGTGTGATATTGTACTAGACGCTGCATTCGATGCTAATTTTAGAATAGCACTGCTGCTGTTGCAGCTATCTTTTTGATTTTTCAATATCATATTTTCATTTTATACAAATAAATAAATCGAATGAAAGAATGTCAAAATTGATATACAACGCGAAAGTGGAAGGATGCAGAAGACGAGGTAGGCCACGCCATACTCTTCACGATCAAATCGTAAGTAAGAACCGTACTTTGTTGCGTTCGGTTCTCTCTACTACTGCGCGGCGGCGTGAAGATATAGATAGATACATTAAATACATATATGTAATTATTTTGGATATAAATATGATGATTGTATGACAAAAAAATATTTCCACCGAAAACTTGTCAAATCAAACTGACGCGATATGACAATATATGATTTTGTAAGCGATAAATCAGTATTTATTATGGTAAATTATTGCTGCAATATCAAGCCAAGAGAATGAGCAGATACGATTTTTAAACGATTAAAAACTACAATCACTAAATTCCGAATCGATATGGGAAAAGTCTTGTTAAACCCTTTAGGAAGTCGAACCAGGGTCTTAGTGAAGATGACATCATGGAATCAGAGTGAACGCTACTCGACGATAGAAGTCATCAAGCTATGATTCTCATTAAAAAAAAAATGTAAAATCTGAGATAGGAAATGGTGACACATTTGTTTTACAGAAGTTCATTCGATTAATGTTACAGTTCCTTAAAATTAACCATTGCAATTGTAGTACAAAGACTAGCCAGTGTTTGTAAACTTCTATTGGAAACAAAAAACTTCCGTCCTCTACTGCGATTAGTGAAAACTGAGGGCGCTTAACGCACGTATATGCGGTTATTTTGCGAAAGGGAAAAATAATGAGAATATTGATGGTGAGTGAGTTGCATGATTCGAAAGTACTTCATCATTTACATGTCGAAGCTAACACTTGAAAAGTAAATATTGATTTTACAGATTATAATAAGTATGCAAATAACAAAAACCCTTCAAAGAAAATATGTGTCTTCATCAGATGAGAGCATAGAAAACTTACTGTACTACAAAGATTGTCAGCACAAGCCAAAATCAACAGAACCACCTGTACTTCGAAATGAAAATGTCCAACCACCAGAAGCACCCAGGCAGCCCGACTGCCCGTTCCCTAAAATGTGCTGTAGCATGAGCTGTGGTAATGACTGTGGAAGCTCCCAGTCATACTTGAGTAGACAAATGGAGCCATTGCAAAATTTCGGACCGATGCAACCCGTTCAATTACCACAGAGAACACCGCCACATTCACCTGTGCAACCACAGATAATGCAAAGATCTAGGAAGAAGAAAATAAGGCCCCCAACGAATTCACTCATGGGTATGGGTATGGGCGTGGATGGCAGAAGAGACGCCGGGTTCACAAAAGAAAGGATAAAGAACTTGATTTCACAGGACGGGGATATAAGGAAGATATTGAAAGATCTCGTGAGGGTGACCATGCAGAAAGTAGACTTATTAGAAATGATGAACACAAGAAGAAATAACGATCAGAAATCTGCAGAAGCTTCAGCTAATAGTGGAGAGTATGAATAAGTTAATAATATTGTGATATACGTTACTGATTAAAATGAATCATGATAATTATCATAATTAAGATTAAAAAGAAAAAGTATTAAATTCAGATAACAACCGAAAAATAAAATGCTTAATAAACTTTTGAATTGATATTTAACTAGTTGGTAAGTAATAATTGTTCGTGTCCCACATGTTATAAATAATTATAATGAAACCAGTTAAATAAAAAATTAATTAAATATGGTAAAAATATACTTATACGTGCTTCAAATCGAGATCTTCTATTCTCTCGTCTTTTATAAACGTAACGACTAAGAGTTTAGTAAATTATATCTGTCGGAGAATATCATTAAAGCGTTGTATCATCTGTCGGGGAATGGTAACGTTTATGTTAATGGTGAAATTTCAGAATTTTATCGTCCACTTGCCAAAATGGATCCAACGCTTGCAGATTCGAAAAAACTCAAGTCGTCAAAGTTTTGTTGGATAATTATCATGCATTATACCGCCTTTTCGGCTTGTAAATATTTAACGGAACGTAAATTCTGAACATTTTGAAAGAAGCTGTCCTTCTTTTCCCCTTTTTCCTTGTTTCCCTTGCTTTCGCATAAAATAATACTCGTAATATATGCTTTATTTCAAAATACACAGGATATAATACAACAAAATCAAGACAATAATTAAATTATTATAGATTAATAAATAAAAATTAAATCAGGCTCAGCGACAGTTAAAAAAAATGGAAGTTTTATATATATGCCTCTTAAATACATGTGTTATGTATTTTAAATTATAACTAAACTTAAAACCCCCTACCTCCGTTAGCGATCATACAAAAAAAGAAGATTTTCAATTCGACTGTAGGTTTTTTGTGTTTGTTACGCGACTATTCTACTAATTACGAATCGATTTTATTAATTCTTTTTTATTCGACAGCTTAGTAAGATCTCATTTAAATTTTATCGAAATAGAATCAGTAGTTTTCTTTTTATAACAAAACAAAATATGCTTTTCATCAGATATCACCTAAATATTATGATGACATGTTTTTATAGCAGCGATATATATCATCATCATCATCATCATCATCATCATCATCATCATCATCATCATCATCATCATCATCATCATCATCATCATCATCATCATCATCAGCTCTTTTACGTCCCCACTGCAGGGGCTCAGACCTTCCTTATGGATGGTTAAGGAGGAGGTCCTATCGGATTTTGAATATATATATATTCAAAATCCGATAGGAGTAATTTCTATGTTCCATACGGGTATGTTTGTTTTTTATGCAAGTAGATATGTTCAACGATTTCTTCGTGGTAACGTCGTGCAAATAAATAAAAATTTTTCACTATGTAAATATAATTTCTCCTATATATATATTTATTTATTTTTTAATTCACCCTATACAAAATATTTATGTATATCATTTAAAAAAATAGAACCGATTTCAAACTTTTAAAATATTTAAAATAATAATAATAAAATTTATTTTTCTAACTAATTTTGGTTGTGGATCGCTGTTGCCTGTTTATACTTATCTTAAAAGCGGTAAAATTTTTCAAGGAATATTAAAGTCGGGACGTGGTTTTCTGTAGTTTATAATGATAAACTACAGTACCGTACAGTACCCTGACCGTACCTGTGATATTATCAATCAGAATTATAAATATTGTTCCATTAATAGTATATATATTAGGTACTTACATGTTTCCAAAGTTTCTCTGGGACCTACATATTTCTAAGATTCAATGCTTTATGATAAGATCAATTAAGCATTATCCGTTAACTTTTACTGTTATAGTAGCCATAATTAACCGACAACTGAAATGGTGGTCGGAAAACGTATTATGTATTTATTTTATTATTATTTTATGTAATTAGTAGTAAATATCTGTGTGGTCATTATCATCAATAGTGAATCTATTCTAATATTAGGCAAATTGTTTAAAAAATGGTGACAAATCCTGAAATTGACCATCATAAAAGTGCCTTAGCATTTGTGATCGCAATCGAAAACGTTCACTGGCACTCACAACTTTAACAACACAATAGTGAATACTACTATCGAAGAGTAGACATTCCATTAAGTTTCTATTCAATGGTCTAAAGAGAAATATGTGTTTATTCTTCAGATCATTATTTCATCCAGGTACATAATAGACGTTGAATCAAAATAAAGGCATTGTACACAAAAAAAAGAATAATAAAACCTGTTCGAGGACATTTATTTCATCTGTTCAAAAAATAACATAAGAAACAAGAATACACGGCTCATGACAGGTACACACAGTAGCACGTCACATGACGTCACGTTAAAACAAAATGTAGCATTGCTATCATCGATTTTTAGATTTCAAAATGGAGAAAATTTTGTGTTTTGGGTGATAAAATCATCATCAGCCTATTATGATCCAACTATTGAGACTCAGGCCTTCCCTATGGATGGAATAATATTGAACCGAATAGGGAGAACGGATCCTTTGTGGATTGGTGGGTATTAACGTAACGGGGGACATAACAAAAGTAGACAAGAGACTGAACGAATACAGAAATAAAATACGAATAAAACAGATGTAGATAATTAATATAGACAAGAAGAAACAATGTACTTAAACTATATAATAAAGAGAATAACAATAGGAATGTAAAACCAGACAAGAATAAACATAATATATAATAGAAAGTGAGTAAGGAAATTTAAGCTAAGAAAAAGAAAAAGCAGCAATAAATATAAATGCATAGAATTAGAGTACAAAATGTAAAACAAAAATAACTTTGAGTCCTGTATCTACAAAAAATGTATAAAGTAAAGAAATAACAGTAAAATAGCATAGCCAGCAATCCCAGCTGTGAAAGCATGAATGAGGATGGATGCGAAAAAGACAAAGTATGAGGAATGAGTGAGACAAGGGAAAATGAGAGAACTAGAACGATGAACAACATAGAAAGAATAAAAACGTCCTGCTAATGAGTAGGGAGCGGTAGGTGCTCAGCCATAGACTGTAAAGCTGGGCAAAAAAAAGACCCACCATGCGAGCCCAGAATGTATTGGTGGGTATTATAAAAAATTTTGGTCACCTATGCTATGACCGGCCAATATTTAGATTAACAGTATTTTTGAGCTATAAAAAACATTTCTCTCTAAGCCATTTACTTTATTTTTTATTCTATTGGCAACTTATTGAAAATTTCGACGGTCATGGAATAAGTATTTAAATTTTAAAATACTCAGAAGTACCGCTAAGTAATTTAATGTAAATTGTACTCATACAAAGTCGGAGTGAGTGGTAGTATACAGAAAAGAAAACAACCAACGATAACATGTAATATTCAGTGTACAGCAATAACAAATCTGCCGATATGAGGTCGGCGCTGGCTAACAAGTCAATACACGCTGGCATAATTAAAAGGTTTTGAGTGGTCTGTTGTCAATAAAAACACAGAAAACATACCACTATTAACTGATTGGGAACTCTTTTATACTTTTTTAAGGGATCTTTTCATACATCAGAGTGTGGAACGTTACATAGTTGGTATCGACAGAAATTAGAATACATATCTTTTAATTTTGTAATAAAATAATATTTTATGAATGAACTTCAACCTATTTAATAAAATAACTAAATGAATAATCATTTTCAAACTGTGAATTGTGAAAGTCGAAATAATACGTCATTGTCGGTTCGTAATTCTACAGTGGGAGACTGAGTACTGACGAAAATTATTGATAAGAAAATAAAGGCTGACTTTATTCGTGTACTTTATTCGTATATTTCATTTTATAAAGATAAATTATAGATATTAAAGATAGTATGAGTCCCCATACTATCTTTAACCTTCTAAAAATATTTCATCATCATCAGCCCTTTTACGTCCCCACTGCAGGGGCTCAGGCCTTCCTTATGGATGGTTAAGGAGGATGGGCCATTACCCTCCAAGCTGGCCCAATGCGGATTGGAGGGTATTAACGAGTGCAAATGCAGCCGGGACCAACGGCTTAAAGTGCCTTCCGAAGCACGGAGTAACTCGAGATAATAATATTTTGGTCACCCATCCCGTGACCGACCCTTGCGAAAGTTGCTTAACGACTACGATCGCGGGCCACGGCGCTTTCCACTACGCCACCGACCTACTCAAAACATATATATACTAAATATATTTACTTAATATTATATGAAATATTTTTGAAGAAGTAAAAAAAAAAGTTATCAGCGAAGTGAGAATGGTCCTTAGATAAGTTTGCCAGAGACAGAGAGGTACAGAGGTAGTCCGCAACCGTCTCTGTCTAGCGCAGTTAAAGTCTCAATCTGTGTTGCGAGTGGTCGGCCAAAGTTGGGCGGGTTGGTCATAGACATAAGAATAACTAAACAAGAACATATATATATATTTATTTAAAATAAACAAAAGTCACAATCATGTTTCTATTTCTTTTTAATTTAAAATATAATTAAATATGAAAGTATTGTCCTTGTCTTTAATTTTTGCATAGAAAATATTCCTTGAGGCAATTTTCAAAAACTTAAAACACGTTATATGTATTATACATTTCTGTTAATTTCTTAAATGTCTCATTTAAGAAATTAAAAGATGTCGAAATAGACCAAGGACAGTAATTTATGCTGCTTTCTCTCATATTATAATGAATAAAGGAATTTGTTTAAATAAAAACATTTTGAACTTAGAAATTAAAAAGTAAAAATGTGGAAAAGGTTGGAATTATATTATAGAAAATTCAATTGAATACTACAAATGTTATAAATTTTGTAGCGACATCTAGTGAGATTTAAAGAATTACTTTTCAAAATACTTCTTCATTACGTGCACATTGCCTTACTGAAATAGCAATGACATAAATACTTTTCAAAAATTCTGTCTGGAGATCACAAGGCCTCCAAAATATACAAAACATACCTACAGACAAATCAGTATAATCTATAAAATGGTGTACTTAAACCCGTCGTATTTTAATATTAATATCCCCATTGTTATGTCATAGATCTTCACTATAAGTGGAATCGAATTGGGAGAATGGCGCGAGCCCAGTGCGGTTCAACGGCTTAATATATGGAGGAGCTTCTGAAGTATGGAGGAGCTTGACGTAACAAATTTTTAGTCACCCATCGTTTGACCGAGTCTTGTGAAAGTTGCTTAATGTCCATATCATAAACTGAACTCGTCAACCACTGCGTCATCTCCTCAAAAGAAATAATTAAAATGATTGACTTAAATTGAACATATTTTATTTTTTAATAAAAATAGTTTTTGAAAGTACTCACCCTTGTTACTGTACAACATTGGGCACAAGATGTGCTTCCATTTAAGTTTTGTTTATTCACGATTTAATAACAACATGCCGTGGCTGTACCTAAAGTGAATCTATGACGTTGTTAGAGCTTCCCACGCTTGTCTATCATATTGTGATGTCTATGTGCGTGGTTTAAAAGCTCGCGTTCGCCCTCTCTACCATTCACTACCTGGAGGCTTCGCACGTGCTAAACGTACCCTGAGTACGGCACCGGCTGGTTATCAACGAGCTTTAACTCGCTGTAAGTATATTCAAACTATTTGGGAAAAACTATCTTCTAATTTTAAATATATTAAAACTTTTTAGAACTAGGTACTCTTTATTAAAATCTTAGTCCTATGCCGAGAACTTGTATTAAAACCTTTTTGGAATTAAAATAATATTCAGACTTTTTATAAGTGTACAAGTGTAATGAAACTTTTTGAACATTCTATTTTTTCATCTGTAGATTTTTTTTAGAACGAGTCTCAACTGTTATTTTTGGTAAAACTAAAAATATAGTCGAAGAATGTTTCAATAATTTATTTATTCGTACCTGAAAGAGACGATTTCAAATAAGTTTGAAAAATTGTTAATATAAATAGATGAACGCTATAAAATTATGAGATAATATGGTAATACATTTTTTTAAATATTATTTTTGGGTCATCTGTAATATTTGAAATACTAAAACTAATCAATCTAAAAATACGATTATTATACTTTAATTATATATTCTTTAAACCAAATATTTCAATGAAAGTTAGTTTTAGTTTAATATTTAGAAAGACATCTCGAATATCTGCGTGTAACGTAATTTGGTGCTTCATTGATTAGGTTTATTAGTCGTACTATTTTAATGATGAAACACTACGAAAAATACCTTTCTTTTCTTAATGAAAATTGCTTAAAAAGCCACTTGGCCCTGGCACTCTGAGATGGGACACGAACCCATGACTTTTCGCACTTATCTACCCAGAACCTAACAGTATTGACAAATTTTCAAGCGCTTATTACTTTTTTGCTACTACAGAGCGTCTTTTCATCAATGTTCAGGCAATCGACCTAAACAGCCGAAAAACATTTTTTTTTCAAATATTAAGGATATTTTTCAGTATTGTGAATGCAAAATTGTTGGAATATAATAATTAAAACAAATTATCTAAAGTTTAAATATTTGTAGAAATATTAGTATTAGTTATTTGTGCATTATACCATAAAACAATTAGTCCATGATTTTTTGTCAACAAAAACATATACATAATATTAGAACTAACCATTTAAATGTTTTTATCAAAATGTTTTTATTAGTTGTATTGCAATGCTGTATAGAATAAATAAAATATATAGATTTATCGGTGTGCTAAACTTCTAGATAGGTTTTTTTGTTTTCAGTAAACTTTTCCTTTTTTAAATGAAACTTTAAAAAAATGTGGACTTATTAGAATATTTTTTTGACTTATACATATAAAGGTATTTAAAGAATACCAATATTATTTCAAAATGGCGCACTTGGAGCAAGGTTTATTGTAATGCCTATCAACCTAAGCGAAATTTTTTGGTAATATCGAATATTTAAAGATACTGAGTATCTAAATGATGCCACTTAGTTCATTAAGTTTAAAACTTAAATATGGTTATATCCAATCTTTACAAATTAACTTCACAATTTTTTTTTAAATACCATCTGTAACAATAATTCAATTTTAAATTGGATTTTAAGCTAGGTCATAATTTAATTACTAACCAATAAATTTTACATAAAGAAAACAATAAATTTTTATGCTAATATTTAAACGTGGTTGCAATTGAAAACTTATAAAGTAAGATCCTTCAAATACTAGTATTATAAAAAACCTGTACACTGTACTGTAAATAAGTATAATAAATATAAAAGGTATCGCCCATTTAAGAATTACAAATACATAGAGATTAAAAATAAACAAAATATTATTACCATCACCAGGTAATTACTTTTTATGTAAGACCAATAATTTCGACATAGGAACGATCTCTGAAGTCCCAATGTTCGATTCCGGGTCAATGTAAATAGAAAATATGCTTTTCTTTATTGTATCGGGTCTGGCTGTTGTGTTATATACCTTCCTTGTTTGAAATTTCCATAATACAATTGCTGATGTCGTTATCTAATATTTATATTCGTTTTTTATATTATAAATAATTATTCATAGCTCAAATAAATGGAAATCTAAATTTAATTTAATTATAAAAACGCAATAACTGAGAATATACTTAATTTATGATTCTATCATTTATCATTCATTCTCTTGGTTACCCTTTTAAGTAATATAGAATTAATAGAAAATACCATTATAAACATTCATAAATTATTCATGCGTCATAAAAATGAGCACTCAAACAAATTGTTTCTCGTACACGTGAAGATTGCTAGAAAATACATATTCATTTGTTTTCTTATGACAAACGATTATCAAATATATTCCAAATTAAATTAATTAATTACAACTTAATTTATCTATACTAATATTTGAAGAAGAAAGATTTGTTTATTGTCGACATGCATCTAAGCTAATGGACTAATTTTTTTTTTATTCTTTTAATTTTTAAGGGGTTTTTATTCTTTAGAACATGCCAACCCCATCATACCATACTTAAATCTAAATTCATTTGATAACAATATTTCACTAGGTAATTTTTTACAGCATTTACTACAACTTATCTTAAATTTACGAGTAATTTACATAGTTTTTGTGTTATTATTTTTAATTTACATAATTTACATGGACTAATTTTATTCATTCTTTCACCTACGGGAACTTCCATCCTGGTTGACATAGCCTATGATTTTCACGGGTGAAGTCGCGGAAAAATAGCTAGTATTATAAGAAAGGCAAAAGTGATCAACTCAACTGACTTATTTATCAACGCTAATCTCAAACTACTGGATGGATCAAGCTGATATTTGGAACACAATTGCACGTTTTCAATAAACTTAGAAGTTGCACAAATATATATCATAAATGTGTAAACGGACAAAAGAAAAAAAACTTTTTTATTTGGAATTGAACTAATCTGCTTAGGCGATTCGTTTATATTAGATGTTTCTTAGTTTAGCTATGCCTTGTTTCAGCTTTGTCAAAACGGATGTAAGGCTGGAATTATATTATTATATATAACTAGCTTTCCGCTAGTGGCTTCGTCCGCGTGGTCTTGTATTATACATAAAAAACTTCCTTTTGATTCACCCTATCTATAAAAAAAAACCGTATCAAAATCCGTTGCGTAGTTTTAAAGATTTAAGCATATAAAGGAATAAAGGGACAGAGAAAGCGACTTTATTATACTATGTAGTGAAGTTTGACGCCGAGTTCAACATGGACAGCGGAATGCGTTGTATCATCCCCTTTCTTGGCATTGTTAATCAATAACTTTAATCAGTCAAGCTAGGGCAGTGGTCGGTTAAAGTTAACAGTTAAAGTTGTGACGTCATCTAACCATTCAATATTGCAACTCATTATATGCTTAACCGGTACCTTAACATATTTGTTATTGTTAAAGTAAGTTGGTGTAACCAACCCTTAGGTTTGGTCTATAACCACCTAGGCTGGTGATGTTAAGCTACCTGTGCCAGTGAATTTATCAGCGCGGAGCGTAGCCTAAGTTACCCCTTATTGCATAAGCTATCTGCCAGTGAATATCCCATCGAAATCGGTCCAGCCGTTTCAGACATGAAAAATTGTCTCTCAGATAGGTACTTACGTCAATTATAATTTCAAATTGAAATATTTTTAAACTGTTTGTGGTCGTGATAATAAACTTTAACTATGCCAAAAAAAGGATAGTGTAACAGATTCCGTAGTCAATGTTAAAATTAGCATGTCGTTTGATTTGACAAAAAAAGTTGATCTTAACTGATATTATGGTGTAAATCGACTTAATAGTTATTTAAATAAGGTTACGATTGAATTTTGGAGAAGCTTAAAATATTATTATTTACGAAAGAATACTGTGTTTTATGGAACATAAATTATGTTCCGATTTATGATTACTACATTTCCAAAGTTACTGTTTTATGGTAATGCAAAGCCCTATAAGAATATCTATTAAGGCTACCTTGAACCTCCTCATAGATTCCCATACAAATAAGGACGCGTTTGCTTGATTTCATACATTTTTAATCGCAGAAAGAAACAAATGCAATATACAAAAAAAAAGTTATATACTTTAGATTATATCAAAATCTATTTTTATATAATTGTCTATGTAGTGAATACGAAATATAGTCGTAAAATCGATCCAAAAACATATTTAGGGTCATCTTTGCGTTTGTTTTCTATCAGGTCAATTATTGAAATTTTTATTTCTGCTTTTATCAAGTATTCGATAGGTATGTTTAGTTTTCATAAAATAATTTTTTTTTTGGCAAATATTAGGATATCCTTATAATAAAATTTATTTAAAAAGTGGTAATATTTTACAACCTCGCCTCATGAGGAATATACATACACAATTGCGAATAATACATTATGGTAATATTATTGAATGTCAATTGATATAATATTGTTATAGTGCTTTTTGATGGATTGAGATACTCTATACAGAATAAAATATTTTATACCTTAAACAAATGAAAAATAGTTTTGTTATTACGAATGGCATAGATTCTTTTTTTTTTACAAAAACTATTTTGAAAATTCTAAATAAAACCGACCACGTATGAAGGATACCGACTTAACGGGCTCGCGCATGAAGGATTATGTACCGAAAACGAGCAATACAATACTTTTGTTGTATGGGAGCCGTATCTCACACAGGTCAATTCATCACGTGAATGAACACTTTCCACCGACCAGGTGTAGCCACTTTGGACATCGTAAACTAAACGAACGCATAATCCGGGGAATCTCGAAACTCACCTGAAATAAAACCTTGTGAAAGTTTTAAAGTCCATTTAAGAGAATGACTTCGTAGTCTTTTATTTATGGACTCTAAACCATGGCACTGACCTATCTTAATGACTTAATAATTTTAGTATTTGTTATTATAGAGGCAACAGGAATACACCATCTGTGAAAATCTCAACTGTCTATCACAGTTCATGGGGTACAGCCAAAAATCACTTCTGTTGTATGGGAGACCCCATAATTTATTCTGGTTTTTAGGTTTTTTTATTGGGTTATTTACCATTAACGCTATAACGGGCACCTCATTACTAAGACGTCGCTGTCTGACTGTCAAATTTATTCACTAATTATACCGTGTTAAATTTAAAGGTTTACG